ACAGACGATTGTATTATTCAAAAAGTGTATAGTGATGGTGATATAAATATGTGTTTTTCAAATGAGACCCTTGCCTCCATCTTCTAAGTTGAAAATTATTTTAAAGTATTAATGTTTCTAATTAAAAATTCAATCGAGCAGTTTCTCAGTTATTAAAATRTCAACAAATAGTCTTTGAAAACGGGTTAGAAAAAATTAAATATATCTTATATATTAAGATGTAATAGTAAAAAAACACTATTTATAATACTTATTATACTTGAAMAATAAATAAGACTTACAAATTATACTTAGCACATAAAGTTTTATAACTCAAAAACTACTCGTCGAAATTTTGATTATTCTGCTAAACAATTAATAGATGGGATGGGGAGGGGCCTACATTTGAAAAAATAGAACTGCATATATCTCCACYGAATATGCTTTATATTATTGATTAGATAGTATGAGAAACGTTAATAATTCGAAACATAATAATAGATGCATAATATTCTTAGTTTATATTTTAAATTTTCGAAATTGAAGAAAAAAAGGAATGGACTTGCTTGACGAATCATTCAGTTTAATATTATACGCGCTGACGTATTTTTTTATTCGGCTTAACCGGCTCCACCACGTAGTAATAATAACGAGTTTACTCAGTACAAAATGTTACTAAACATTTCTGCATGAACATCGGATGTTCATCGTCKTGTCGTGGTAATCGTCCACCCCTCTCTCTACACACACACACATATCTACTTAATTCGCATTATACAATATTACGAAAGACCGCGCACGTCGCCGGATGTATATAACGATTTTTTTTTTAGTCTCACCCAACGTTAATTGTTATCTCTATACCACCGTTGCCGACGCCGTTTTTGACCCGCTTTGTTATCCGTCGCGCCTTAATTAGTGATGTGAACAAAAAAAAAAATTATTACAAATCGCGTGTCCGTATTCGAACTAACGACTGACTGACTACAGCGATTGAAATGCCGACGTTACTTTGTTGTATTATAATATTGGCTTTAGCGCCAACCTTTGGGTTGAAAATTAAAAAATCATGAACAGCTATATATAATACGCAAACTATATATTCTGGATGCCCACCACCACGTCAGGACTTTGCTCTCACCGTTATACATTTTTAAGTTCATGCCTTATTTACATCGTAATCGCAAACGCCTCTGGTAATTTATCATCGCGTCGTTCCTATAATGCTGCWGTTTTATTATTAAAACTTTCAAATTCAAAAATCTTATTATTATTATGATTAAAATTATAATAATATAGTTGTACTATTGTAACTATTTTTTCTCACATTTGTTACTAAGACCTATATTATTATTATGTTATGTACACAATGATAATAGTAATAATAATAATAATAATAATAAAGGTTAAAAACAGCGAAATTTATGTGTATACATTATAACAGACCACTTTYGAGATAAACTAATTAAATGGTTTTGAAGGGGGTCGCGCGTATTAAATCATATTTTTATAACAGTCTATTTCAGCCTATGCTATGTACAGCGTCGTTATCTAACAAGAGTCTGATATATATTACATTTTCAGCGCAGTTTTTAAAAATGAAAAACCACGTTCACAATGGTTGTAGATTTCGTTGTTCAAACTCCGCGCACCCAACGAGCGGTACGAAAACTCTTTTCGGGAGCATTCCATCGTGCGTTCACGTATATGTTTATGTCGTTTTTAGATTTAAATTTTGAATCGTTTTCAGAGTTTTTACTCTTTACCAGTTCCCTACAACTGTGAATCGAAAAACGAAAACCACCACGAACAATATTGAATAATGTTGCTGAACCCGTTGTATTGTGTTCCACCGTTCCAGAAGTTGTTCGCTACGACAAGCAWAATCGTTCGCTTTTCTTTCCATAATATCCATTATCCACTCATCAATCGCGAGTGAAACCATGTGCAATGTGTATGCCTAAAATTATATTATAGTTTGATTTTATTATATTATGTTACCTACACACTAAATATTTTCGTAAAATGCGATCAAATTTTTCGATTTTGTAAGTCCTGGAAACCAATTTTATTAACACTCGGGTCATATTTGTGTCAAACGCATTCCAAGATTTATTATTGTTATTATATTTCCGTTATAAAACAGCAGGCGGTCGTTTTCCGCCTGTATTGGTGACTAATTTACGGGGTATGTAAATTCTGGTTTCCAGRCCAAAAGCACTGTTAGGTCCAGTTCGGTTCGTTAACTATACCGGATGTACGTCAAATACAATTCTGTGCGCTTGCGTAAGTGTGTGTGCGTGTGTATATTTGCGTGTGTATGTGTATGAATAACACATTTGTACTCGTGTGTGTGTGTATAATACGAAATCCTCGGTGAATTCCTGACGAAATGATTCCATTGCGTCTTTATGCATTATTGCGTGAAACTTTTGAAAATTAATGTCTGAACGCGGTCGTAATAATATTTTAATCACGAAAATGYGATGCATGAAAATTACGACCGCCCGCGCAGCACTGTATAATGATACTACCTACTGTTTTTTTTTCTCTTTCCCGAACAACTTTGCCTCGAACGGTGGGCTACATCGTAAATTGTTTATAACCTCTTGTGTAATTATCATGCAATATCATAACGAATTTGAGACCGCTTGTACCGTACCGCTCCTMGCCAAAAGGGGTTATTTTGTAATGTAGATGCCTGTGTTTCACTTTAATTAGTAATTACACTTAGGTTGTAGGTGTTTGGCTGCCATCCACTTGTCCTGTTTCAACCGATTTCCATGCTACCGAAATAAAATATTTTCCAACTTAAAATCATTTTATTTTTCTAAATGATAACTGATATTGTTATTGCGTGAAATTTATAATTTCCTCGTTTTGCCTAATCATTTGATCTTAAATATTAAATATATTATAATATTATTACACATTTTACACAAGTAAAATATAATATAGTGAAGTTATTTTTCTACAAACAATATGATAATACCTAATCACCTACGACTAATTCAATGTTAAAACCGTTTCTATGATAATCTATGAAACATCCTTTACCTATAAACTCTAAACTTCATTAATGGTAATTCATATTATGATTATTCATTTTCTAATACAATACTCAACAGCTGTCAGTTATATATAGTTTTTATTTTCATACACAAGTATAAATATTATGTTTAAACATTTTTTTTTTGAGTAATGCACCATTTATAGAATTCATAATCAATAATGTAATTTCTAAATAATATTTAATTATACGATTAAAATTTAAAATTTAAAAAAAAAAACTATTTAGGTTTTTAAAACCCATTTACTTGTATAGTATGAAAAAAATATCGTCACACTCTCRGAATGAAATAAGTATTTATAAATAAATTTTTCTATGTACACAAATCGAAAAACGTTTATGAAGAATATAGGTGATTCTCAAACCAATTTCAATGCAGTTCATAAACAGTTAACATTTCCCAATGAAATATTATAAGCTACATTTTTAAATAAATAATGATTTTGAGGCAAAACAATTTAATTTAAAAAATAATATAGCCATAACTTATGAAAGTCCCATGAACTTATCTATCATCTTTTTTTAATATAAACCATTTCTCGGGTTTTCGCGTTTAATTTATATATTACGTTCCAGACTCTTTTTGATGGTTGGGCGGTGTTTRGAGGACGAAAACAAGTAGGGAATGAGAAATGTGTTTATTTGGACCGGGACTTTTGCCAGCAACTGGCCAAGGATAACGGTTGTTTCCCGCTATATTGGGAGGAAAAAAAAGAAAGAGAATAAAATGTGTTTTCCCGACATCGAATAAGGTTGTTCTATGCTGCCAGATACGCTTTGGACATATCAATACCACTTTTTGATTGCTTTTTTCCGTCTCCTACTTCGAATTGAAACAATTAAGGCGTGCGTAGCACTAGTTCATGTACCTGCGTATATGTAAGAGTATCGCCAGACAGCTAGAGTTTCACAACCTATCAATTATAGGTAGGTACTTGGTACAGCGCTAGAAGATCCGACGATAGAATTCTATGAAAAAAAAAAAACTATGATCGTTTCAAAGACATCAGATGGCATAAAAATATTTGAATTATATTACGTATATTAATACAGGTATCCAAAAACCCCAGTATTATTACTATAAACGTTATCTGTTTTTTAAATTTAATAATAATTTCACCTGTAACGACCACTGCTGTAACAATGACATAATCAATTTTAGTGTTAGACTAAAATAAATAACAATTTAACTGACTATTATAGATCGATTACATCGATAGTATTTTTATTTATTTTTAAATTCTGAAACACAACACGTGGGTCATGGAAATTCAGCTAGTGTTAATGTACTAATTAATAATTATTGATTGATTTTTACAAAAAATTGAGTAGAAAAAAATTATGTTCTGTTATAGACTGAAAATAAAAACCGAGAAAAAATATTATAGTATTGAATATCTACGACCGTTTTTATTTTGTGCTGAACGAGTTCATCCATCAACGAGTCGTTTATCGAATGTGATTGAATTGTGTTATAATAATCAATATTACATTTTTGTATATATATATATTTGAACAAACACAATAATACCGTTGTTGAAGATAAAAACAAAATAACTTTCCTATATAATGTTTATGCCACCATTATTTAGACACATTATAATATAAAAGAATAATACATTTACGCGCATATATGTTGTAAAAAAAAAAAYATAGTWATCAAAAACAAATATATATTCCTTTATGGTACCGTATAATATTCCAAATAATAATATATATGTCGTGCRAACGGTGTGTGTGTGTGTGCGAGCGTAAGTGCGTTTAGTTCGTTTCGAGTATAATGTTATAATAATATATTGTCGCATAGGAAATAAGATCCCCTCGACCATGCTTCAACGTAAATTTCATCTTATTGTGTATATATAATATATATGTGTGTGTGTGTGTTGTACACAATGTCATCCGCTATAAACATGTCAAATGAAAATGTTATCTTTTTTGTTTTATATAGGTGAACAATGGATAAAAAGAAAATGGCTTCGGTGTTGGCGTTATTGACAGTGATGTACGTGTGTGCGGTATCTGGAACAATAAACAACTGCACCAGGTAACACATAAGACAATCACTAACTAAAATCTATACTAAATATTAAATAAGTCCTACAACACAATGATGTGATGCATAAGAATCAAATGTTGTTTGATAGTTTGTGTCCCCCTCCAAGGTCTGAAGTTCGATCCATAAAGGAATCTTTTGTGGCGATGCGTTACTGTCGTATTACAAAACCAGCAAAACATTTTTTAAATGGTTAGAGGATATGCAACAATTGTGGAAATTTGCGCCTATATACAGAGTGTCCCGTGAGGATTCACCCATTGCGATATCTCCCGAAATAATGGTGATACCGAAATTCTGATTTGCAATAAGACTCACGAGATAAGAACTACAATTATTTTATATTTTAATTTATTTTAATGTTTGAGTAAAAAGGTTAAAAAATATATTTTTTTATTTAATTATTTCCAAAAAAATTAAAGAAAACCATTTTGTAGAGTTAATTTTTCTAAAAATATTGATGTTTCAAAATTTTATTTTCATTCATTTCCTGATTTTTAATATTTTTTTTAGTTTCGAGAAAAATTGCGAATTCTTTAACACCGTAATGTTATCAAACATGTGACCTGCCGCGCCGCGCGCATTCTCATACTGCCGACAGAATACTTTCCGCTTCCTAATAGTTATAATCAAATTTTATTTCTTCAAAACTAGAAAAAATATCAAAAACCAGGAAATTAATGACAATAAAATTTTGAATCGTCAATATTTTCAGAAATATAAACTTTACGCAATGGATACCTTTAATCTTTTTGGAAATAATTAAATAAAAAATATAGTTTTTAAATTTTTTACAGAAACATTAAAATAAATTAAAACATGAAATAAATTGTAGTTCTTATCCCTGTGAGTCTTATTACAAAATCAGAATTTCGATATCACCATTATTTCGGGAGATATCAAATCGGTAAATCCTCACGGGACACCCTGTATAGATTATTGAAAGATTTTCAATAGGTAACTATTCCGTCAAATATTTCGAACCATCTGAATCACCCAAGTAGTTAATTATGGGAAGAAAAGAATATAGTTTCTTTTGTTATGTTCAAGATTTAAACATAGACGTACTACACGTCTATATACAAATTTACCTACATTGTATATAAAATGTAATGTTTCTTTCTTTGTCCGCTATAATATACGCAAATACTACTGAACCATTTTCAATAAATTGYAAATCAATAGATTCCTTGTTGATACCTGAGAGGGGAGAGTCTAGCCTCAATCTAAATCCGTATAGATTAGTCGAGTATGGTTGGTGACACAAATTGTATTTGTTTTTAAATAAAAATATTATGATATTTGAGCTATCAGCTATGATATAAACACTGGAAATTTTTTGTTATGACTTGTAAAGTTGTTTAGGTTATAAATTATAGTATAACCGTATTAATGGAAACATAAATAATTCAAATGGTCAATTATTTTTCTCTATGGTCACTGGTCAGAAATTGTGAAACTAAATTATCGAAGATTTAAAATTAAGTTAACTAAGACCAAGTACAAAGTAGTTTTTATAATCATATGTAACTGCACTGCAACAGAAATCCTTAATTTATTCCTCATTTTATGTAAATAAAATGATAACTATAACAACAACAAAATCAAAATCATAAACAAATTAATGATCTAATATTTATAAAAACTGAAATCATTTGAAATTCCATAAATATGAGACAAATAGCGATTATGATTTAAAATAAAAATCATTTATTTTTTATAAAATACAACCAACTGGTATGTGTATAGTATCTACTCGTACATTATTCCTGCAAGCTACGAAACTAATCAGAATTATATGCATATTTATGATGTTATCAGTAAATTTAATTCATATGCCTGCTTTTTTTATTATTATTATTTTAAAGTGTTCCTGACATACATGGTCACCAAACTTACTGATAAGATAATAACAATATTTAACAATTAGAATAATATCGGTAAGAGTAATTAATTACATTATTTCATGGTACCTACTTATAAAGTATAGACTTCAATTGCGTTATAAAAAATAAAAGTTAATAAGAATATACGCAAAGCAGACATAAACTGTACGAAAATTGGAACAACCTAAAAACTTTATTCTAGAAAACTTACGCTAATGTAAAATATTTTTAAGCTGCGTACATAAATAACTAAAATATATAATTTATTTATTCAATCAATTAGTAAATAATTATTGTCAATAATACTATTATAATACTATATTACTGGGGAAAATTCGGGAAACACGTGCATATCCCTAGGATCATATCAGACTCTAACAAAAGTTCAACTCGCCTGTACCATGCATGTTCATCGATTTTCTGTTAGACCAAYATTTTCTGTAATAGAAAATAAAGTTTAAGGTCAAATATTTTAAAATATTTGTTTATACTTATAAACAAACAGTTATAATAACGGAATTTTGTACGCGAGTAAATGATAAAGCATTTTAAAAGTGTTTTTTCTATAAGAATATCAACGACACACTCAATATTATAGAGTTGAAAAAAGATTGAATAATACATACTGATGACTATTCTTATTTATTACAACAAATATCAACAAAAAAATTTCGATAATTAAACCTTCTTTTAGATAATCCAGACGACTTTAAYGATTTTAAACTAACCAATATCCCTGCATTCACTTAACTCACCAAAAGTTTAATCCTTATCATATTATAAAACATCATTATTTTTGTTTTGTTACAAAAAAAAAAAATAAGAAAAATTAAGAAAGATATAAAAAAAATATTCCATAATTTTTGAAGAACTGAATACGAGATAAGATCAGTCATCCTCATCCTGTACTAATGCTATAAACTGTGGTATAAAACACTATAATTTTACCAAAAGTAAATGTCAATAATATTACTAAAAAATTAATTATGGTAACACCACGACATATTAATAATATTCTGTTTTTATTAAAACGTATACACATATTATTATGCATTTAAAATAAAATATACCTCTTTATACTAAACGCCAAGAAATGTCCATAATGCTTTCTATTAAACTCGCCAGAAACAAAATGGTATCCTCTGTACAAGCATGCCCTTCCATAYAGGTAACCGCTAACGAAAACAATCTTAACCTTATAAATAATATTTCCTATCAAACGCTCATATTTCCAACCATGGATTTAGCTACCTGATAGGATCGATACCTACTCAATTTAATRATCTTCCATAAAACTCAAATAGTCCTCATATCTATACACAAGAGTTAAAAAACCTAWTTCCCTAGTACTCCGATTTCATTAAAATTTTCACCAACGCATCCAGAACTCAAAGTTATGTGAAAATCGCTATCATATACAATGACGAAGAAGAAATAACATACAAACACAAACTTTCGACAAAATATACAATGCTGAAGAAATGGCCATTTTAAAAKCCCTTGAATATTCACTGGAAAAACAAAATAACAACTTTTTTATTCAAAGTGATTCTTTAAGCTCAGTAAAAAGTATTGTTAACACACATAAACCTAATGACATATTAAAAGGAATCCATTTAGCCAAAAKAAATGTATTCAAATTAATGTGGATTCATCAATAATGGGCAATGAAAGGGCTCATCTGCTTGTCAAAAACACGGCATTAACAGTCCCTACAGGTAATATAAATATGGCAAACATCTTTTCTTAGGACGCTAAATGCACAGTAAAACTGATATCAGCGCAATCCTGACGAAACGTCTGTTCAAAAAAAAAATACTAATTTAAATGAAATAAAGTAATCAATCCAACATTGAATTAATAATATTACTCACATAGAAAAATAGAAACCAATATCAATAGACTTCAAATAGGCCACACCAGACGAGTATTGATATCTCCCGAGAGGAACCTCCCATATTCACATCATGTGGGGTCAACGTATCTATAAAACTCATCATGACTTAGTGTAATACATATAGCGACGAAAGGATCTGTGATAAATTATCTGAAGACATTTTCGTAAGCCTCGAACCAAACTTGTCATTATCTAATATCATCTCCTTCATCAAGCAAACTAGATTGACCAATTTAATTTAAGTGACGTTATTATTATTATTATTATTATTACTATCATATGAAAATGTATTTATTACTTGTAACTTTATGTTCTTAGCACTTAAGTTCTAACATTTTAACACATATTATTTTTAAATAAAAAATATACCTAATGTATACATCCTATAGTCTATTGGAAATAAAATACCATTACTGTTACATCTCGTTAA